GAACCTGAAAAGGAAACGGTTTGTAATTGAGACATTCCTTCTGTGTATAATGTTTTCAGTAAACATTAATTTGCTCAATTATTATACATTATGTTCTTTGACGATGTCTGTGTAGACAAGCCATCATTTCTGGCGACGTCTTTGGAGACATCACTTTATAAGCAATAAAGTTCTTAGGCACAAAACATATCCAGTTTTAGAATATGCCACTTGAAGTATGTAGACAATATTACCTGTAGCACGACAAAAACATCTCTTTCAATATAAAAACTTTAGTGTTGTTGTGACAACTCTAGATTGTGGTTCGTGAAACTCAAGCTGTCAGTCCTTTGTCAGCTACATCAGAGGTCAGAGTGAAGATTATGGATGCGAACGACAACATCCCTCAGTTTAAAAAACTTCGTTATGAAGCCTCAGTTTCTGAAAATGCTGAGCCTGGCACGTTTATTACAAAGATTGAGGTAAGTTAGCCATAAAGATTAGCCATATTTCGCTAGACCATGTTTTTCCTACAAATTATTTCTATAAAAGGACATATGTAATAATTCATTTCTTTTTCTTTGTTAATGGAAAACGAAAGAAGTTTCGCCCAAAGCATCATGAAATAATTTTTGTCCTCCGTTAAGCAACCAAATCTAATTTTAGGTATGTCATATACATACAATATGGAACCTTCACTAGCCATTACTATAATAGTTCAATAATCAGTATCTTACGCATGCCTATCTATAGAGTGGAGAATGTTCACCAGCCTTTACTATAATAATTTAATAAGCTGTATCTTAGATATGTCTATATATAGAGTATGTCTATATACAGAATTTTCACCAGCAATTACTATAATAATTCAATCAAACCACATATAGTAAATAAAATATTCGCTTGGTATAAAGAGACATTGTTGTATGTTAGAGCTATCCCAAGTTCTACATAAGTAAATCTCGGCGAATATTCGCTTGGTATTAGTAGGTGTATCATTTTATTGATTTAAATATAATTGTTACTCTCTTCAGGCTACTGATAAAGATACTGGAGATTTTGGAAAAGTTCGGTACACGTCAATCAACGGACCTATTGCCCAAAAGTAAGTTAAAGTTAGAGAGATTAAAAGATTCTTAGTATGTGGGTAAAATATTGTTGTAAATCACAGAATGGCGTGAAAAATCTGAGACGACTTTGAAACAAATTAAAGTTTTCTAACGTTAAAGAAGAATATGGAATACTTTGAAATGAGATTGCATGCTTGCTATCGTGTTTACATATACATTCAAACTTTCAGCTTTTTTAATGATTCTTCCCCTAAGAAATAAATTAATGTTTTTTTTTAATTAGTTATTATATAAATATTTTTTGTCTTATTATATACATACGTGTGTGATTAGATTCTGCAACATCAAGCGGTCATTAAATTTGAAATCAGAATTTAGGGACATGTGGTCATGAACTCTGAAGTAACAGGTTTATACACACACACACACACACACACACACATACATATATATATATATTAGTCAAAATGTTTACCGAGATTTTGAAGCTATTACCCCGGTGGGACAGCGGTAAGTCTTCGGATTTACAATGTTAAAATCAGGGGTTCGATACTCCTTGGTGAACCCAGCAGATAGCCCGATGTAGCACAAAACTACCCCCTTTTTACCTGATAATTGATTTGTTAGTTTGAACTACCCCCTTTTTACCTAATAATTGATTTGATAGTTTGGTTTCTAAATCTGAAATAGAAGGGTCCATGTTAGTTTATAAGCACTTAAACTTTATGGATATTTTAAGTGAAAACTTAAATAATTCCATTATCTTTCATCCCAAAACTCATGACTATAATACCCTAGCCTGTCATTTTAAATATCATGACACAAGTCCTTAAGCTGTCATCCCAACGTTCATGGATGAGTGTTATTCCGCAAAAGGTAAGAAGAAAAACTTGGATAAATGATAAGAAATAATAAATTGACGCGCATGAATGAAAACTTTTTCAATTTACTTTGTGCGACGTTTCGAGCAGACGCCATTTATGAGGTACTAAAAACTGTGTAACGAGGGGCGTCTGCTCGAAGCGTCGAAAAAAATATAATGGAAAAGTTTTTCATTCAGATGTTTCAATTTATTTTTTACTATCATTATTCCAACATTCGTGACCACATGACACTGCAGAATCCAATCACCATACAGCGACCCACGAACGAACAGTTAATAAAAAAATAAATATACTCGGAATAAGATTTCGTAGCATTAGCAAATACTTTTTTGTTAGTCACAATCGTTATTTCCCCTTTTTTCTTCCATCCTTGGCAAACTTCCATGGCATCACAACTTACCATTTCCACAGTAGTGTACAGCTGTGAAACCCTAACTTACCATTTTCACAGTAGTGTACAGCTGTGAAACCCTAACTTACCATTTCCACAGTAGTATACAGCTGTGAACCCTAACTTACCATTTCCACAGTAGTATATAGCTGTGAAACCCTAACTTACCATTTCCACAGTAGTGCACAGCTGTGAAACCCTAACTTACCATTTCCTACAGTTGTGAAACCCTAACTTACCATTTCCACAGTAATGTACAGCTGTGAAACCCTAACTTACCATTTCCACAGTAATGTACAGCTGTGAAACCCTAACTTACCATTTCCACAATACTGT